CTCTGTCATTTTGTGTCTCTCTGTATCATTTTGTGTCTCTCTGTATCATTTTGTGTCTCTCTGTATCATTTTGTGTCTCTCTGTCATTTTGTGTCACTGTCATTTTGTGTCACTCTGTTTCACTTTATGCCACAGTATCATTTTGTGTCTCTCTGTATCATTTTGTGTCTCTGTCATTTTGTGTCACTGTCATTTTGTCTTTCTGTATCATTTTGTGTCACTCTGTTTCACTTTATGCCACTCTGTATTAGTTTGTGTCACTTTGTCTCATTTTGTGTCACTCTGTATCATTTTGTGTCACTCTATCTCATTATGTGTCACCCCGTATCATTTTGTGTTAAAACAGATCTCTCTTGTAAATGAGTTCCCGCAGCTCAATGGGATTAACCTGTATAAATAAAGGTTGAATGCAAAAAGTGTCGCTCTGTATTATTTTGTGTCACTCTGTGTCACTGCGTGCTACTCTGCATCACTCTTTCTGTGTCACTTTATGTCATTTTGTGTCACTATGTATCACTACTCTGTGTCTCTGTTACTCCGTATCACTCTGTCAACTTGTGTCACTCTGTATCACTTCATCACTGTATCATTCAGTAAAGAGTGAGTTCGTAAACTCTGCTGTTACTCACCTTGAAATTTTCCAGTTTCTGTGAGAAAAAATAGAAAAAATGAATAAAAAAATTTTTATTGCAAGAAAAAAATCTTGTTTTCTTTCAAATCTAAATCAAGACAAAATACTCACAGAATTGATATATTATAAATATATTAATTATAAATTAATATAAAACTACTGTCAAACTTCTGACAAAAAAAAGATTAAACAATAAATAAAATAAAAATGAACAAATTGAATTGGACGACCTGGTTTTAAGTAAAGTCTCTGAAATAAGATTGTGATTAATGAGCCCTTCCAGTGTTTCTTGTGGCAGACTGAATGTCTTGTTTCGGCTCTCACCTGGTGAAATGAGGACCAGGGTCTGTGTGGGGGTCCAGGGTCCTTGTCCTGCCCCCGTGTAGGCACAGACTCGAAAAGACACGTTGGACAGGGGGACGGACAGATTGATTGACAGCTCAGTGTCTAATCCAGCATCAGCCACAAGCTGAACAAAAGCAAAGAGACAGTCAGGAGCAAACTGTTTGTTTTTCTGGAGGTTTGATCTTTCCTGACGCTGTGGATCTGGATGTAGGAACCTTATATTCAAACGTTCACAATGTG